GCGGAGCTTGCAGTGAGCCAAGATCGCGCCACTGCACTCCAGCCTGGGCGACAGAGCGAGACTCCATCTCAAAAAAAAAAAAAAAAGAAGTCTTTCCTGACCACTCTGCTAAATCACACTACCCCCTTTACTTCACCCCTGTACGTGAAGTCCCTGAGAGCAGGGATGCAGCCTGCTTTGTACGGTGCTGTGTCCCAGGTACCAGGTACAGGCCTGGCACACAGCAGGCCCAGTAAATGCTTGTTGAATGAATAAAAGAAGCAGACACCCAGTGCACAGCCATCTCTCTCCATGCCCTCTGTGGTCACTGGGCCACTGCAGGGGGTTGATCCCACGATCCCCAGGGCCTCACAGGTCTGAGGGGAGCACCCCTGGGCTCACTGCCCTGCAGCTGCCCACCTTGAGCACCAGTTTGCTGGCAAAGTAGAAAAGGGCGACAACACGGCCCCAGTTGAAGTTGCCGTCAGAAAACATGTCAGCTGCCACTCGGAAAAAGACCTCTCGGGGGGAGTCTGTGTCCACGGCGGCAATCATCCTGCAGGAGAGAGGAGAACCAGTGCCGGGGAGCGAGCATCAGGCTGATGGTGGAAATCCCCACATCCACCGCACACTAAAGATGAGGAGACTGAGGCCCAAGCCAGGCGGAAATGAAAAACAACAGGCCAACGGGGGGCAAGGGAAAGGGACAAGACAGACATCGAGGAAGGTGGGAAAAATGACTCCCTGAAGGAGGGTTTTAAGATCCTGGCGGAGGGGACGGCTGGGAGTCCAGAACGCTTGCGCTGAGTTGTAGGGCCCAGACTTCTAGTTCTTAGGGGAGGAGGAGAATGCGGGGCTGAGACTCCTGGGTTCTCAGGGAGCCCAGTGGCTGGATTTCTGGGTCCCGGGGCCCACACCTCTGCAGCTCCATGTTACTGTCCAGTTCGTCCCCGATGCGCTTGAGACACTCGCTCAGCCTCTTGGTGGACGCATCCTGAGGCACCGGGTCCAGGGCCAGCTCGGGTGTCTCCCCCCCCATTCGCCCTGCTCGATCCTGGATGAAACTAGAGTGGGGATGGAGTGAGGGTGCAGAATCAGAACGGGGTGTCACTCCTCAAATCTGTGCCACAATAATCAGACCTCAAACTCACCCCTGAAGCAAAAGGGCCCCTGTCTTCATGATCTGTTCAGAGCTGGTGGGCCCTAGAGGAGAAAGGAAGGGAAGAGGTGCCTGGACTCCTGGGTTCTAGGGGATCAGGAGGCTGTGGAGGCTCACGGTCCCTGAGGGAGGGCAGAGCTGGGGACCCTGGACTTCTGGGACCCTACCAGATAAAGTGACGGGGGTGCCCAGACAACTGAGTCCCTGATGGAGAAAGGCTAGGAGGCTGGGCCTGTATCCTACATTCTCCCTGGGGAAAGAGGGTAGCGGAACACTAAATGCATCCCGACCCCTGGCCTGAGGGGGCAGAGGCGAGACCCGCCCCTCCCACCAGTGCCAGAGGCAGGAAGTGGTGCGGGCGACAAGCCCGGGCCTGCCCGGGGGCTTGGCTTCCGAGATCCCCTAGTTCTCGGGGGTCTGAGAGCGCCAGACAGGCAGGGATCGGGGTGCGGGGATCAGAGAGCCAGGAACCTCCGAGGACGGAGGGGGCTGGAGTCTGGCAGCGCCCGATCCGGGAGTTTCTGCCCCTCAATGCTTGGAGATCGCACAGCCCCAGGCCGAGAGGAAGGATCCTGGGACCCGCCGGCGAGGGGGCTCGCCCTCCTCCCGCCCGTCTGCCTCCCGCCTCACCCCCGCCTCTGGGCTGCTCCCCGGACCCGTCCATCACCGCCGCTCCCGCCGCCGCCTCTCGCCGGGTCCGCGCGGGCGGCCGCAGCGCGCCCCGGGTCACGTGAGAGCCACACTGAACGTGCGTCCCTCACGTGGCCGCCCCGCAAAATGGCCGCTGCCCCGCAGCGCCGCCGGGTCACGTGACCGCACCTGCCTCGCTCCCTCGGGAGGCTTAGTCCCATCACGTGACTGTCCAATGAGCGTCTCCCAATAAGTGCCAGCCGTGGCGCCATCCAACAGACGCCCGTCCAGTCGCAACTCTGATGCCTTCATTTATCCAGGCACCATTTTTAGAAGTTTCGGGCAGGGTTTGAGCTCTCCCCAGCGCAGAAGGAATAGCAAGTGCAAAGGCTCAGAGGCCCAAAATAGCGTGCTTCCAGGCAGGACGTTGTAGATGACTAAAAACTGAGTGGTTTTGTTTTTGGTAGAGACCTGGATCTCACTATATAGCCCACGCCCAGGCTTGTCTCTTAACTTGTGAGTTCAAGAGATACCGCCGTCTCAGCCTTCCAAAGCGCTGGGATTACAGGCATGAGCTACCGCGCCCGTCCTGCTTTTCTGTTGTTTGTATGTTTGTTTGTTTGTTTTGAGTCAGGGTCTGGCTGTGTTGCCCAGGCTGGAGTGCAGTGGCCCAATCATGGCTCACTGCAGCCTGGAATTCCCGGGCTCAAGCCTCCCACCCCAGCCTCCTAAGTAGCTGGGACTACACCACCCCTGGTTAATTTTTTTAAATTTTTTTGTGGAGATGAGGGCTCTCTATGTTGCTCAGGTCTCTGAAATCCCAGGCTCAAGCGATCCTCACATCTTGGCCTCCCAAAGTGCTGAGATTACAGGCTTCAGCCACCCCACCCAGCCATGACTCGAGTGTTTGTGTTTGTATAAAAAGAAAAGGAATATGAAGTTCAAAAAGTGACAAAAACTAATCTGTGCTGATAGATCAGCAGGGTGTGGAAGGGAGGGGCCACAAGAGAGACTCCCCAGGTGCCCTAAATATGCCATATTTTTATCTGAATGGTGTTTGCATGGGTATACACTTATTATATTATTATTATTATTATTGTTTTGAGATGGAGTTTCGCTCTTGTTGCCCAGGACGGAGTGCAATGGCACAATCTCGGCTCACTGCAACCTCTGCCTCCCAGGTTCAAGCGATTCTCCTGCCTCAGCCTCCCAAGTAGCTGGGATTGCAGGCATGAGGCACCACGCCCAGCTAATTTTGCATTTTTAATAGAGATGGGGTTTCACCAAGTTGGTCAGGCTGGTCTCAAGCTCCTGACCTCAAGTGATCCACCCGCCTCGGCCTCCCAAAGTTCTGGGATTACGGGCGTGAGTCACTGTGCCTGGCCAGGTATACACATATTTACAATTCATTGAGCTGTACACATAAGACTTGTGTGCTTTGTGAATACTATGACGTGTCACTTTAGAAAGAAAATAATAGCAACTAAGGAAAACTCAGAAAAATGAGCTAGGATCAGATGATAAAGGGGTTGGGCCTATCAGAGAAGGGACTTGATCTATGTCCAGAAGGCAGCTGGGAACCATGGGCAAGTTTTGAGCAGGCAAAGGGCAGAGTCAGACTAGGGTGTCAGGAAGATCTCTTGGACTTCCTTCTTTCTCAAAAGAGCTCCTGGTTGGGTGCAGTGGCTCACTTCTGTAATCCCAGCACTTTGGGAGGCCAAGATGGGTGGATGACCTGAGGTCAAGAGTTTGAGACCAACCTGGCCAACATGGCGAAACCCCATCTCTACTAAAAATTCAAAAGTAGCCAGGTGTGGTGACAGGCACCTGTAGTCCCAGTTACTCGGGAGCTGAGGCAGGGGAATCGTCTGAATCTGGAGGCAGAGGTTGCAGTGAGCCGAGATCGTGACCTTCCACTCCAGCCTCAGTCACAACAGGGAAACTCCAACTCAAAAAACAAAAACAACTCCCATAGCACTCAGGACTTATAACGCTTCTCACAGCTGTAAATGTGTGCAGTGTTTAATTTAATGTTGACCTTTTTCATCCACCCAAAATTTCCACAAGGTTAATTTGTCCTCAATTCTCCCAGAAACCAGCATGTTACTTGATCCATAGTTATCTCTTTGTTATTCAATAACTGTATGACTGAGTGTTGGGGAGCATACAGAAAGAAGACATTGTCGGCCGGGCGCGGTGGCTCACGCCTGTAATCCCAGCACTTTGGGAGGCCGAGGCGGGCGGATCACGAGGTCAAGAGATCGAGACCATCCTGGCTAACACG